GAGGCACTCATATAACAATATACTGAAAGAGAGAAAGTTATATGTTGTCCCAAAGGGTAAAACTAAGAACAATGAGGGGTGTTTACAGAAAACAAATTCCCTATCAACTGAAAAAATTAACTGTATCAATTAAACCTATCTGGAATGGGAAGCAAGAGGCCCTGAGCTGTATGTATGGAAATGAAGTGACTTCCCAGAAACTCCATCCTATCCCTTCTGTTTACTGATGAGCTCAAGTGCAGCCCAGAGACAGAGTCTCAGGTTTCCTAATTCTACTTGACCATTCTCTCCATGATTCCACAATTCCAGAGCTGGTATTGCTCACTAGTAGTAGAATAGAGATTTCTCAGTGATGGAGGAGATTCGAGAGACTTGATCCTTTTCAGGCCTAACTTTCTCTGATCTCACGGTATCTCTTCGTGGCACTTCTGCTTAATAACTATAATAACCTACTTAAGAACTCCATCTCACAATATATTCAGTCACTTATCATTTAGAAGACAACTTCCACCAGGATCTACATCAACAGCATCTAGTACTTAAAAGATGTATAGTTTACAAAACATGTCTAAACCTCCCCATCCCATAAAATAAGCCCAATAGGTATTACTACTTCTAAATGGCGCTGAAGTTCAGAGATTAAATAAATACAAAAGCATCAAAGAGCAAATGAGTACTGCAACTCATACTAAGTCTTTACACCAAACTAAAATGCCTAAAACTGACTACTCTCATTTCTCACTGCCATTAGGTTTCTCCGTAACTTATAATCAATCTGAAAAGAAAAGCATTTAGGAAAGAATAAAGTAATCCCAGTTTGTCAGTGCTTTCTTCTCCTCTCTAAGACACTAAAGGGTTAAGAAACCCTCCATTAGTACCAGTGGCTCATGGCAGTCACAACTTCCATTTCATTGTCTTACCCCAACTGTTTTTTACGGTTTTACATGACTTAAGCCATTAATCTTTACCATAACCCAAATAAAAGCTATTAGCCTTATGGAATAAAATGGGCACAGAGAAGCTGAGTAAAATGCCCAAGGTCATGACAGCTATTAAGTAACAAAAGAGAGGATTTGAACCTAAGAGATGGAGTCTAGAGTCTGAATTCTATCACTGTAGTGACTTTCACAGGGGGAGCATTTCCTCTGCACTTTAAAAACCAACAACTTAATATACAGCATAAAGAAGACTTAAATTTGAATACTGGTTCTGTCACTTGCTTGGTCACAAACTGTTTTTAACTCACTTTCGTGACCCTTTAAAATTGTATTTATAAAAGAAAATTGTACCTATCTCAGAGTTGCTAATAAAGACTGTATAACATATTAAAATCACTCTGAATTATCAGGTACTCAATAAATAGCAGCAGACTCTAGCAGCATTAAAAAGTCAAAGCACATATCTGTGTATTAATAACATCGCAGGCTGTCAACTCAAATGATTTGTTTTTATTCTATACTAGATACTGTCTATTTCAAAAAGTTTACTTACACAATGATGTTATTAATAGGGATATGGATCAATTTCACAAAAAAGCCAATGAATCCCATTATAGCAAATCCTATTGCTGTTGCCATGGCAATCTTCTGGAATTCTGGATTTAAAAACACAAAATTTAGATAATTTTTTACATTGACATTGCAAATATAGGAGAAAAAATTAGCAGCAATATAAATAAACTTACTGGTGTACATTTCTCCAGAGTGAACATATCATTTTAAGTTAAACAAAACATGACATTATTAATAAATATTTGCTTGACAAATTTTTTAATTTTCTTCTTTGATATTTAAGGACACATAGAAATAAAGTGTATGCCCATGCTAGTGATTCCATCAACAAGCAGCAAAATAGTCTAACTTCTTATCAAATGACCAGAATATCAAAAAAAAAAAAAAAAAAAAAAGAAAGAAAGAAAAAGAAAAAAGAAACACGGATAACAGAAATATACAGCATCCATCTCAAAATTTGTTACACTGTTAAAAGGATTTATTATAGGGGTGCCTGGGTGGCTCAGTCGATTAAGCCTCCAACTTCAGCTCAGGTCACGATCTCACAGTTCATGGTTTCGAGCCCTGCATCAGGCTCTGTGCTTGACAGCTCAGAGCCTGGAGTCTGCTTCAGATTCTGTGTCTCCCCCTCTCTCTCTGCCCCTCCCCTGCGCACGCGCTCTCTCTCTAATTTAAAAAAAAGTATTAATTATGAAAACATAAAACATGATTTTTAATGAACAATAGAGCTGTCGTCTTTGATACCATAATGAAGCCAGGAATAAGGCTTGAGAAATCAAGCTGGGCTGGGCACAATCTGAAAACAGGTTTCAGACCATGGTAATGTTCCATTTAATGTTATTTCCTCAGGGAAGCCCCCGTGCCCTCCTGACTTGGTTAGTCCTACTATTATGTGCTGTCCATACTTCTATTTGTCTTTCACGGTAATTACCGCAGAAGTAATTAGAGTTATAATTGCCATTACTGGTTCATGACTATATTCCCTGAAAGATTCTACACTACACAAGAACATGGACAGGTCTCTATTACATATGTGTATATATTTATTACACTACATATATATTATATTCTGTTATATTCCCAGGTGCTAACTCGGGAAACACTCAAATGAATAAAGGTACACCATTTCTGGTGCACCTTTTTACAGATGAATCATGATAAACGAAGTTTAACTTAGTAGATCGATATCAACTATACTGTTGATTTCATGTTAAGGTTTTGTTTTGGGGGGAGGAAATGGGGGCAGCAACAGAGAAGGGAGGACTCCAAAAGATCTTTCGGAGTGGAAATGTGGAAGACACTGACACCTAAAACTCTAAAGTCATTAAATACCACTAAGGCAAACCTAACATGAAACACAAGGCTGTGATAAATTATCTTTCACCATTTGAAAATACATAAAACGGAAAAATCTGTAAAGTGTAAAAAAGTGTACAAAATTTAGAAAATGGCAGTATTAAAATACAATAAAGCAAAATGAATCGCTAAAAATGTTGACAAAATAATGCAACGGCTATTAAGCAGAAAGATACCAATCAAAGAAAAGATTTAGCAAATGTAAAGATTTAATCTTTTCTCCCATTTTAAAGCTATTACCTTTTCTATCAGGTTTAGTGCACCTTTTGACCAGCCGAATTGAGTCCTTCACAAACTGCCGACTCGGCTCAACGAACTGCATTACCTGATCCATGATGCCTATTTAAAAAAAACAAAAAAGTAAGATGCTCACTGGTATTGGTTATCATCAAATCAGCACTTCATCAGTTATATCAAAATATAAAGGAAACTAGTCATGAATTCATGTCTGATACGAGTCAATTCCATCTCATAAAACAAAACAAAACAATACAGACTCCAAGACAAAACGGACATTATTTTTTCGTTAACTCCGGCATCAGATCAAAGGCTATAAAACAAGCACAGGTCTCACCTCCAGGATTATCACTGACACAGGACACATGCTCCTAACATGACAAGTTAAGCACTTAACACATCCATTCCTTTCCCACTCTGCAGTCTTCTCATTGTTCCTGCTACAGAACCAACAATTTGGGGATCCAACAAGTATTTTCCATATTTTATTTTAAACTCTCAGAAACCAGTGTCAAGTGTAGTGAAGGCCAACTGTGACGCTGCAAGAATCTAGCCTAGGGGCAACGTGGACTTCAATCTGATTGTTGTAAACCACAATCACATAACACTTTCAGAAAAGAGTATTTTTGTGTGGAACAGATCTATCAAATCTTCAAAACCACAAAGATTGACTAAACCAAGATCCAGACTCTCAGAAGCTATTACCTGAACTCCAGACCTTTAGGTAGGACACACCTTTTAAGAAAACAGCGCTATATACTTCATCAGCTAGATTCTTCTGAGGAATCTATTGCCCAATAGAAATGTCACCCAATCTTAGCTTTGAGAGCTTACTACTTGCATTTTACCCTACCTCCAGCCCTTTGAACAGTGGTCAGGCACATGATAATAAATTTTTGTTACATCAAGGAATGAGCACCATTGGAAGAGCAGGTGGTGGTTCAAATTCCTGTCTAGGAAATATAACCTTCCTAAGCTTCAGTTTCCTAACCCGGCGCGGGCAGCTGGAATAAAATTCTATAAACATTCTAGGCCAAGTACATTGGGTGCCTCCAAAAACACAGCAATGCCTGTTTCCTTAGTACTTCACTTAACTTTGTTCTTCAAATCCAACGGGCTTAAACTTTATAGATGTCGTGATGAAAGCTAAAAACTTTTCTCCATGAAAAAAAAAAAAAAGGCACAATGCGTAAAACACTGTTCACTTTCAGGGGAAAGGATCCGGTCACTTGCTATGATCTCTCGATCTAGAATCTAGACCAACCCTCTCACTTTATCCTATAGACGTGGTGGCAGGGCCAGGGCTAAATAGAACTCTTCCAAGGCAGGACACTACACACAAACTCCCAAAGCCTAAGGGAACTCCAGCGGCAGGCCATCATCTCTGACCAGAGCACAGAAGACACCAGCAGCCCCCTAACAGAGTAAAACCTGCACACCGAGGTGGCCCAGGACGAGCAGCCAGAAAGCCGAAGCCTGGGCCAGGACTTTAGGCGCTGAAGGAGCAAGGGCTTCCAAAGCCACACTCCTTCGGGACCTCAGGAGGCCACGGCCCTGGGCCTTTACTTCCACAGCAGGCCGTGCGAGGAGGTTCGTGGGCAGCCGGGGGCGCCAGACCCCCCAGAACGGAGAGCCTCCCGGAGAGGGCCGACGGCTCGCCCACGCCCGTCGCCTCCGCTAGTCACAAAGGATTCATCCCCAAGCCCACCAAGAGATAGATGCTCACCTGCCCGGCAAACTCTCAGACGCCAGCGACACGTAGCACAAAAGCGGACTGACCAAGGACGGCCGGAACCGGAAACCGAGTCTCTGGCCTATGGCCCGCCCACTCCCCCGTTCATTGGTCCTTTACGCAGAAACATCAGTGCGCAAGCGCAGCCCGCTGGGCAGTTTGGACACGCATCCCGGAAGAAGTGCGCTGCGGGGTGGCTGACGTGAGCGGTTTGGGAGTTTGGCTTTCTTTTCTGCAGTTTGAGTGTGGCGTCTGCCGGGTTCTTCCCTGGCTAACTCCCCTGTTCCCCCAGCAGGCCGATCTCACCCTATTCGCGTTCACAGCAAGAGGCCCCTTCGGCCTCGCGCGGTACCTGTTCTATTACACACGAATTGGGTAAATCTCTGCTAAATGGATTCCATTTGAGGGGATGATTTCTGATAGAAGTTTCTGTTTTATTCAGTTCATCTTGGTCGTGTATCTCCTGACTGTCCATACTTTCTGGATGCATTTAATTTTATTGGTCAAAATGAAGCTTATAAACAAAACAATCATATGACCGACCTAGCTCGAAATGGTCTCCAACCCCCAAAGCTGGCTTTCCTCTGGTTATCAGTCTTGGGACTATATCTAGAATTGAATCCATCATTAGGTGTACTCTAGGTTTGATTTGGTTTGGAGAAGTGGTTATAATGTATGTATGGTATCTGACTAGGCTTTTCTGAAAATACTATGAACTCAGACATTTGGTGGTAACAGATGAGCTTGTCAACTTGTGATTTTGTATTTAGAATGAATCATTATTTGGACAGTTATTTGAGCACCTATAAACAATTATTGAGTACTGTGTAATTACTGTGGTCTAGTTAAGGGAATTTACAGTGCAAGGAGAAAGACAAGGTATAAGTTAGTATAAATGCTATAGAACAAATAAAGACGGGGCGATGTTGTGAAGAGAAAAACAGAGAGAAAAGATGGTAGGATAAAGACCGAATTCCCTTAGATGGCCACTGTAAGGATACTAAGGAGATGATACGTGGGCTGAAATCTTAAGGATGAAGAATTATTCAGACACACCCAGGTCTGTTCAGAATTTAAAAATGACTGTTAGGCTAAGGCAAAGTATCCATATGAACTTTGTCACATGTATGAACCACCTGTAATGCAGTGTATGGAGAAGGTTTTAAATACTTAGGCTTATGACCTGTAACCCATTGAATCGGTATCTGGAGGTTTAGGGATGAAAAATCTGTATTTAAGGAGCATTGGGTGACGCGGTTGGTTAAGTGTCCGACTTCCACTCAGGTCATGATCTCAAGGTTCGTGAGTTTGAGCCACCCCTCAGGCTCTGTGCTGACAGCTCAGAGCCTGGAGCCTTCTTTGGATTCTGTGTCTCCCTCTTTCTCTGCCCTGCCCCCACTCATGCTCTTTCTCAAAAATAAATAAACATTAAAAAAATTTTTTAATCTATATTTAAAAGAAAAATTATTAGGAGATTTTAGGTACTGAAGTTTCTAGCACTGATAATTTTAGCACCCCTCTGAATTCAATATTCTGTCAGCTGCTCCTGAGTTATATTTATTTCTCAGGCACCAAGGTACCCTTACCCTGCTCCACTGTTAGGATAAGAGAGCTAAGAGGTGGCACAGACCTTGGGGCTCTGAAAACTGTCTTACTCTGCTTCACTTCCAACACATCCTGTAGTCAAATGTCCTATGAAACAAGTATCAACAGACTGCAGTATTTTGCTTTGACATGGGACAAAAATCATAATCATGTATCATCATATTTGGAAAACCTAGGATCTTACCTAGAAGGAAAGTGCCGCCCATCACCTGAACAAATGTATATAACAGACCACTGAGCATTATGGACCACCACATTGAACCATTCAGTTTTTGATATCTACGTATTATATTTGTATAGCCACACATAAGCAATTAGAGTTTCTCCTTGAATCCAGAACTTATGGACATAGATTTTGGAAGTGCCAAATGTCATACAGTGACAATAGAGCCATGGAAAGTGGTAAACAGAACTCTACTATTGCAATATTCTTACATTTCTCTTGAAGTGGTATAGTACTGTGTTAAGAATGAAACCACTAGGGGCGCCTGGGTGGCTCAGTCCATTAAAATGCCAGCTCTTGATTTTGGCTCAAGTCTTAATCTCACAGTTGTCAGATCCATCCCAGAGTCACACCCTGCCTCCACTGCGCTGGGCAGAGCCTGCCTAAGAATCTCTCCCTCTCTCTCTCTTCCCCTTCCCTGCCCTCTTTCTCTCTCTCAAAAAAAAAAAAAAAAAAAAAAAAAAAAACAAACCACAACCAAAACAAAAAACTGCAACCACTTTAAATAACTGTAAAGTGAGAAAATTAGAGAAAGACAAATATCATGTGACTTGACTCGTGGAATTTAAGATACAAAACAGATGAACATAAGGGAAGGAAGCAAAAATAATATAAAAACAGGAAGGGGACAAAACGTAAGAGACTTAAGTATAGAGAATAAACAGGATTGCTGGAGGGGTTATGGGTGGGAGCATGGGCTAAATGGGTCAAGGGCATTAAGGAAGACACTTGCTGGCATAAACATTGGAGGTTATACATAGGGGATGAATCACTGGAATCTACTCTTGAAATCATTATTGCACTATCTGCTAACTAACTTGGATGTAAATTTAAAAAATTAAAAGAACACAATTTGCCCAAAAGGAGGCAGGAAAAGGTGAACAGGGAACAACAAAAAAGCAAAACAGTCAAAAAAACCAACAAAACAGAAGAACTAAATATAAGCACATTTATAATTGTATTACATCTAAATGTAATTCCTAGGTTTAAAAATTCCCCTTAAAAAAAAAGTCAAAGTGGGTTTAAAACCCAAAGATTTGGCTATTATGCTGATTGCATGGATGCACTTTAAAGGCATAAGTTGCGAGTAAATAGATAGAAGTTGAAAACAATAAAACAATATCGGAATTTGTTACTGGGGCTTATTGAGAGCAGATAATATTAGATAATGTAGATTTTAACAACAGGAATTACTGGAGATAAAAAGTAACATTTGTAATGATTAAAGGTCATTTCATCAGGAAGTTATATTCGTCATAAATTTGTGTGCCCTTAATAACTGAGCTTCAAATGTCATGAAACAAAAAGTAATAAAAAGACAAATCTACAAACAAGTAAGAGATTTTCACAATCTTCTTTCAGCACTTCATGGAATTAGGCAAAAAAGAACAATCAGTGAAGAAATTGAAGATCTGACAATATCAACCACCATGACCTAACTATGAATGGAGCAGTACCCCCCCCCCGCCAAAGCTGCAGGTACATTCTCCCCAAGTGCACACGGTACTTCCAGATAGAACATATGGGACTGTAAAAGAAGTCTTAAATATAAAAAATATTCGAATCATACATGGGTTTTCTCTGACCACTGTGGAATTAAGTCTGTAACAACCAGATAGCCAGATAAGTCCAAGTACTGAGAAATAGCGTTCTTCTAAATAAATCATGGGTCAAAGAAGAAATCACCAGGGAAATTTGAACATAGCTTGAACTGAATGTTAATGAGAATGTGGTATATGAAATCTCAAGATGCTACTACACACCCACAAGAATGGTTAAAAAGGTTGATAACATCAAATCTGGGCATAAACAGAAATCAATCAGAATTCTTTGTTGGTAGGAGCGTAAAATGATACAATCTTTTTGGAAAACTTTTGGCAGTTTGTTATATAACTAAGCATATACCACCCTCTTATTTCATAATTCCAATTTTAGGTATTTACTGAAGATATATGAAAATATATTCACCTAAAGACTTGTATAAGAATATAGCAGGTTTATTAGTAATCAGAAGAACTAAAGTGATTCATGGGTCTATCAAAAGGAGAATAGATAGGATATATGGAAGTGTTGAATTACTATATTGTACACCTGAAACTAATATAACACTATGTTAACTAACTGGAATTAAAATAAAAACTTAAAAAGGGGGAGGAGTGGATAAACAAAATGGTGTAATTCCACAATTAAATACTACTACACAATTGAGAGAGAAAAAAAATATATGCAATAATATTGATGCATATTATGAACATTATGGTGAGTGAAAGAAATCTGTGAGAAAGAGTACGTATTTTGCAATTCTATTGTTAAGTTCTAGGGGGTAGAATTAGTGTATGGTGAAAACTGGGAGAAGGATGAGGAAACTCAGGTGAGAGTATGAAACTTGACCAAGGGTTAGAGTTACACGGGTGTGTTAGTTCAGACTGCATAACAAAATACCACAGACTGGATGGCTTAAACAATACACATCATTTTTCACAGTTTAGAGGATAGAAACCCCAGATCAGGGCACCAGCACAGTCAGGCTCTTGGTAGAGGGCCTCTTCCTTGTTTGCAGAGGGCTGTCTTTTTCTATCCTCATTTGGCCGGAAGAGTGCTAGTCCTTCCCCTTATATGAATACTAATTCCATCATTAGGCTCCACCCTCATTACCTTATTACCTCCCAAAGGCCCCACCTCCATCATAGTAGTATGTTTGGGGGTAACACAAATGTTCAGGCCAAGGTAACAGGTGTATGCACTTCTCACAGTTCATCAAATAGCACTCTTAAGGTCTGTGCATTCTACTTTATATAAAATTTGCCTCAAAAAAATAAGGCCCTATAAACAAATATTAAACCCTAGTTAAATGATATAATCACTGACAGGAGTGAAGTATACAATTATCTGCAACTTACTTAGGTAAATGGTGCATTTACAGTTTGATGGAATAATGGATAGGTAGGGTATAAAGCAAATACAGTAACGTGTTAATTGTGGACTCTTAGTTGTAGTTGTGTGGGTATTCACTGAACAATTTTTACACAGGAAATTTTTTGTAACATGGGGGAAAGTATACACAGATCACTAAAGTTTTTAAATTTTTGTTCTGACAAATAATGATAAATATAAATTGAATGTATATGTGGTAGAAATTTTAAATTATCCTTTAATTTAAAGATACCAGTGAAATATTAATGGTGTTATTTGAGATAAGCTGAATTAATGCTCCATTTAGATTCCTGACTCTCTGCCTAAAGCAAGAAAAAGTTAAAAACCCTATAGAAAGGATTTTTTAGAACACCAAACTTAAGTAATAAAGCCTCTGGTTAGGTTAACGAATATTTTTTACCCAGCGTTTTAGTCTTTTGTTCCTTAAAGTAGGAAAATATAACCTTTAATTGAAAATGGGATGTGTGATATTTTTTTTACACGTATTTTACTCCCAAGCAAGATCTCTTTATTTGAAGGAGAGTTTAAAAAAAAAAATTTTTTTTAATGTTTATTTATCATTGAGAGACAGAGCATGAGCATGGGAGGGGCAGAGAGAGGGGGAGACACAGAATCTGAAAGAGGCTCCAGGCTCTGAGCTGTCAGCACAGAGCCTGACTTGGTGGCTCGAACTAACAAACCCAGGAGGATCATGACCTGAACCAAAGTCAGACACTTAACCAACTGAGCCACCCAAGTGCCCCTGTAGGAGAGTTTAAAATTACATCTCTACATCTTCCTTTTACAGACTTTCAAAATGGGTGTTGAAAACATATCACTAGAGTTCTCCTTGCAGTAATTTAAGAAGTTTTATTTTTTGTTACAAAATAATATTGTGTTATATGATGTGATATATAAATTATCTCTATGTCTATGTTTAGGAAAAAGCTAATATAGATTTGCTAATGTTCAAATTGTATTACCGTTGGCGGTTCTTACTAGTTTAAATAATCAAACTTTTAAGTTTTGTTTTTTTAAGGTACTAAGATATTTCACAAAGGGATAGTAAAATTCTACTGTATCCTGGGTTTTAGGGACCTTCCCACCTACCAGCAATTCTCTGGGAGGCTATGCTTCACTTTACAAGTAAGGGGAAGAAACCCCTGCTGGTTTGGCCCCGCCCACAGAAACAAGTGTAGTCAGAGCTCACCATCTAGTGCTGGTGTCACAGCAGCCATCCTTGACTTGTGGCGGCTCTGGCGTTCTCTTCCTTGTCCCCTTGCTTCAACTAGGCTTATGTATTTTTGTTCCCTTACCTGTAATTCCTCTGTAACATCCTGCCCCACCTTATTCTCCCAACTCTCCATTTCCTTTTACTAGACTTCCTTCAAATCCCTCTTTGTGGGAATTTATGTTTTATTTCTTCTCTAAGACAAATAGTTTTATACAGTCAGCACCACACAACTAAAATGGCTGGAAGATCGGGAGCAGGATCTGTGAAGAACTAAGGACCCCATAGCACCCATCTTTTTGTTGTGTTTTAGCTTGTCTAAGTATCAGAAACTGGGAAGAACTGCATTTTTTTAAAAGAAGCTGATGGTCAGAAAGTATAATAGATGTACCCTTGGGAGTGATACAGAATCATGAAAGTGTGAGTAGAGCTCCAGAAAAAAATTAAAGATTGGACGTAGAAACAAAGAGTCGTTGGGGCAAAAATACTTTGGAGATAAATATGATCAGGTCAAATATGGTTGGTTTTGTTTTTGTTTTTTTCTTGAGAGAGAGAGAGAGCACAAGTAGGATAGAGGCAGAGGGAGAGGGAGAGAGAATCTTAAGCTCCATGCTCAGCCCAATGCAGGTTTCAGTCCTACAACCCTGGGATCATAACCTGAGCCGAAATCATGAGTCGGACGCTCAACCAACTGAGTCACCCAGCACTCCTAGGCCAAATACACTTTTTTAAGTACTTTAAAGAAATTATTCTGTTTTATTTCTCCATAAACACAAGAACTAGAATAGGGCAATGAAAATGACTTGAGAGATTTAGATGGCACATACTTAATTTTACCAGCGACCCTACACTGTCACTTCTAATAAACAATTCTTGTTAGTTCTCTGCAGCATTTGATGCCATCAAATACTTGCTCTTGAAACTCTCTGCTACCTTTACTTTTAAAAACAAAAACAAAAAAATAAAAAATAAAAAAAATAAAAAACAAAAACAACAAAAAAGCACTTTTCTGACCATTTCTGAGTCTCCTTATGAGACTTTGTTTCCTGCACTGGTCCTGTATGTTCAGGGTAAGCTAACTGTTCTAACACACAACCCAACATCTGCTCCAACACCGTGTTTATTTCTTGCCCAGAACCAGTCTAAAGTGGACTTGAGGTAGGGGTGGGGTCTGTTTTACATAGTCATTTAGCATCTCAGGCTCCTTCCATTGTACAGTTCTGCCAATTTCTAGGGCCTTGGAGTCTTCTGGTGTCTCCTCTGCATCCAGCCAGAAGATGAAGGAAAGGAAGAATGTAGAGGATTGTGTGAGACTTTAGAGTCCTGAAAACAGCATTCGTCACTTTCCCCTAACTCCCTTTGACCACAACTCACCTGTAAGGTGTCACTGAACTGTAGAAGTCATAGGAAGTGTAGTTTCATTGTGTGCCAGAGGGCGAAGGAGACATCAATACAACCGAACAATTAGCCGGTCTTTACCATTTTCTTAGATATTTGTGTTCCTAAGTGTTCCATTCTCAAACTATTCTTACATTTTAGACTCTTCAGTTGATTCTTGAGGTTTTGACTACTATGAGTAGATTATTGACAAGTTTATATTTCTGACAAGGTCTTGTTAAATGAAAAAAAAAGAAAATGTCTACAGTATGTTACAACTTATCTAAGAAATTTTAATAGTATTGCACACACACACACATCTACATTAATGAAAGGATGAACTTTTAAGATTATATGACTACCTATAATGTGGAGAGAATACGGATAGAAGTGAAAACTTTGTATATACCTCATTGAGTAGGTTTAATTTTGGAGCTGTGAATATTTTATTTGATTACTTTTAAACTCTTAATCTTTTAAGAGCAAACTTTTGCAATACAGAGTAACTGTTCTAAATGAGTTTAGAACAGCAATCTGTGTGGTATAAGGATAAAATGAAAAGCATAAGAATTTAAGGAATTTTTAGTAATATTTTTGGTAGGACTGTTGGTATTGTTTTTGAGACTGTTATGTGTGATTATGGGATAAAGTAAGTATGTTGGCATCATTGAAAACTAGAATTTTCAGAGTTGCTGAAAGGATAAACTGGTATTGTTAAATTACAACCCTGTCATCTTTAGTTTGAATTGGGAATGCCATGAATTTATGGAGTATTTTATCTGAAAGCAAATAAATAAAATTTCCTGGTTCTGATCTCTAGAAAGGCCTAGAAACAATGTTCAACAGAGTGGCAATGAGTTCCTAGCCCCCAGATTATGGTCTCTCTATCCTATTTTCTTTTTTTTTTTTTTTTTTTTTTTTTTCCTTTTTAAAGTTTGTTTATTTACTTTGAGAGAGT